AGTTCTCCTCTCCGAGAGAGAGAGAGAGAGAGAGAGAGAGAGAGAGAGAGAGAGAGAGAGAGAGAGCGCGCAGTCAATGGACAGTCACACGGGTGCTCTCAGGACACTGCACCTTGCTACCAGCTCTGTTGCTGTCTGGGAATTCTTAATAATTTTACCTCTGAACTTGTGTTTTGTAAGGTAAATGGGACAGTGGGCATGCATGGGAGCAGAGAAGATGTATGCATGCTAATTTTAAAACAAGATGAACATTCCTTTTTTTCATAGGGCTTGAACTGGACTTACTCGTGTATTTAATTGTCTATGTAAAGGGAAAATCATGCATAATTCTATCAACTATACTTAATATTCTTCACCTTTTACATTGATGTTGAGGTTATGTTCCTGTTTTTTTTTTCTTCTGAGGCAAGATGTCTATTCAAGTCCTCTGTTCATTTTATAAATGGATTGTTTGTATTTTAATATTGATTGTATACATTCTTTTAAAAAATTTCAATTACAGTTGACATACAATGTTATATTGCTTTCAGGTGTACAACATAATGATTAGACATTGATAGAATTTATGAGGTGATCACCCCAATAGGTCTAGTACCCATTGACACCATACATAGTTACTGCAATGTCACTGGCTATATTCCCTATGCTGTACTTTGCATCCCCATGACTGTTTTTGTAACTGGAAATGTGTACTTCTTAATCCCTTCACCGTTTCCACCCATCTCCCAATTCCCTCCCATCTGGTGACCACCAATTTGTTCTCTGTATCTATGAGTGTGTTTCTGGTTTGTCTGTTTGAGATCCCACATATAAGCGAAATCACATGGTACTGCCTTTCTCTGTCTGAATTGTTTTACTTAGCATGATACCCTGTAAGTCCATCCATGTTGTTGCAAATGGCAAGATTTCATTCCTTTTAATGGCTGAGTAAAATTCCATAACATATGTACCACCTCTTCTTTTTTTTTTACCACCTCTTCTTTATCCATTCACCTGTCAGTGGACACTTGGATTGTTTCTATGTCTTGGCTATTGTAAATAATGCTGCAGTGAACATAGAGGTGCATATATCTTTTTGAATTAGTGTTTTAGATTTCTTTGGATAAATACCAAGAAGTGGACTTTCTGGGTCGTATGTTCTAGTTCTAATTTTATGAGCCTTCATACTGTTTTCCATTGTGGCTGCACTAATTTACAATCCTACCGACAGTGCACCAGGGTTCCCTTTCTCCACATCTTCACCAACACTTGTTTGCTGATTTATTGATAGCCATTTGATGGGTAGGGCATGGTGGTTTTCATTTGCATTTCTCTGATTAGTGACATTGAGCATCTTTTCACATGTCTACTGGCCATCTGTATGTCTTTTTTGGAGAAATGTCTGTTCAAGTCCTCTGACCATTCTTTAATTGGATTACTTTTTTTGGTGTTAAGTTGTATGACTTTCTTATATATTTTGGATATTAGCCCCTTATCATGTGAAATCATTGGCAAATATCTTCTCCCATTCAGTAGGCTGTCTTTTTTGGTTGGTGGTTTCTTTCACTGTGCAAAACTTATTTAGTGTAGTCCCATTGATTTATTTTTTTCTTTTGTTCCCCTTGCCGGGAGAGACATATAAAAAAATATTGCTAATAGCAATGTCAGAGAGTTTACTGCCTGTGTTTTTTTTGAGGAGATTTATAATTTCAGGCCTTACATTTAAGTCTTTAATCCATTTTGAGTTTATTCTTACATGTGATGTAAGAAAGCAATCCAGTTTTACTATTTGGCATGTATCTAATCTAATTGTCTTTATATCTCCTTTCACTGTTTTTTTTTTTTATGTCATCTTTCTTTTTATGATTTTCTGAATTATAAAGACCATGTCTTGCATCTTATTTGGGATGTTGAAGTACTCTAAAAATTTACTGAATTCTTATAGTACTACGTTTTCAAAATATGGTCTTTCTTTGCATCTGCAGGATAATTGATTAATTCATTCAGCAATTACTTGAGCACTCAACATGACACTCACAGTTGTGATTGGTTTGGGATGTATCAGAACAAGAGAGACAAAAATCTCATTAAATTTACATTTGGATGAGAGAAAGACAATAAGCTAGGTACTGTGGACTGTTAGGAGTGTTAAATGTTCTGGAAAAACAGAGTGGTAAGGTAATTGGATGGTGTACTCGGGGGAGACTTGATTAAGAAGGTGAAATTTGATCAGACTGGAAGAATGCATGGGAATTGTGCAGCTACCCCGAGAAAGAGCTTAGCAGATGGGGACCCAGCAGGTGCAAGGCCCTGAAGGCAGGAGCATGCCTGGTGTGCTTGATGAACTGTGAGGAGCCTAGTGAGGCGGTAGCACAGTGAGTAAGGGACAGAACACAGGCAAAGCGGTCACGAGCGTCACTTGGGGATACATCATGAGAGAACCTGCAGGCCAACAAAAGGGTTTTGCCTTTTACTCTAAAGATGGAAAGTCACTGGAGAGTTTGTGCAAAAGCATGATCTGATTACTATGAAAGATCATTTCCTCAATTCTGCCGTG